TATCAAATTTTGTCCAAAGTATAGACAGGCCCGTTGGGCTGCCCAGCAGTCAAAAGGCAGCGGCCAGTAGGGGTCGCAACTGCCCCTACTTTAAGGCCATGTGGAGCGAACATGACACTCCCAACCCACATGAGCCTATGGCAGAGGTTGCAGGCCCGTGCCTAGATAGCTGTCCTGAGACCGCCTGTGTAAGCGTCTCTTTAGGCACGTCCCTCACAGGTGTGGCAGAAGAATTAAAGGAGAGGATGCCAGCCTGGGCCAAAATGAAGAAGGAAAGTAAAGGACAACTGATTTTGGTAGATGTAGAGGTGTTTAGGAGTAGGGTAGGGGCCCTTATAGATTCAAGAGCTACCCGTAGTTACATTAGCCGTAGGGCGCTGAAGAAGYTGAGGCTAGGWCTAAAGGTCCAAAAGCTAGTAGACCCCATAGTCAGTGTCCTCGCAGACAACCGCACGATGCGYGTTGAGGACTACGTAGAGGGAGTCCAGGCGTATTTTCGCCTAGAGAAGGATGGGAAGGTGGAGAAAGTTCTCCATTCCCTGACTCTCCTCGTACAAGATGACCTTCCTTTCGATGTAGTGTTAGGAATGGATTGGGGAGAGGCAGCGGGGGCCACACTCCATATGAGAGAGCATGAGTGTAGACTCCCTAGTCCGTCAGGCGAAGTGAAGACTGCTCGCCTGTTCCATGCRTCCGGTGTAGATAACACCTTGGCGCATTGTTGTCTCAGTGCTCCYGCGTTCGCGCAATTAGTAAGAAAKGAGCAGTTAGAGGAACARGTYTTTGTGGTGYATGTTAGACCTGTCACTGAGGGCCAGGAAAATGATAGTTCCACAGATCCAACAATTGCCAAGCTGCTGGAAGAGTTCAAAGATTTGACTGAGTCGCCGACAGGAGTAGTGTCGCGACCCATCCAACACAGGATAAAGATAGAGCTTGGCAGTAGAACTCCTAAGGGTGCAGTCTACAGGATGTCCCCTAGAGAGTTAAAGGAGCTTCGCAAACAGTTAGACGAACTCCTTGAGAAGGGTTGGATCAGGCCCAGTTCGTCTCCTTTTGGAACACCAGTTTTGTTTGTCCCCAAGAAGGAAGGAGAGCTGAGAATGTATATAGACTATAGGGGATTAAATGCGATCACCGTGAAGAATGCTGAGCCGCTGCCCAGGATAGACGATCTTTTAGATCGGGTGCAGGGTTGTAAGTATTTCTCTAAGATAGACTTAAAGTCCGGATACCATCAGATAGAGGTTCATCCTGATGATCAGTACAAGACTGCGTTCCGGACGAGATACGGGCATTATGAGTTCATAGTGATGCCCTTTGGACTAACCAACGCGCCAGGTACTTTTCAGCGTTGCGTGAATGACTTGTTTAGACCGTGGTTAGATAAATTTGTGGTAGTCTACTTAGATGATATCCTAGTCTTTAGTAAGACCCTCCAGGAGCACCAGGGTCATCTGAGGCAGGTCTTGGAAAAGCTTAGAGAGGCTAACTTCAAGATCAATGCGAAGAAGTGCGAGTGGGCCAAGACGCAAGTCTTGTACTTGGGCCACGTGTTGGACGGAGATGGCATTAAGCCAGAGGACAGCAAGATAGCGGCGATTAGAGATTGGCCGACGCCCCGCACGTTGACAGAGTTGCGGYCGTTCCTAGGCCTAGCTAACTACTACAGGAAGTCCGTGAGGAACTTCTCCACTATCGCCGCTCCCTTGCGCAGGTTGTTGAAGAAAGAGACAATTTGGCAATGGGATAAAGACTGTACGTCTGCGCTAAAAAAGTTAAAGCGCGCGTTAATAGAATATCCTGTCCTCAAAGTAGCGGATCCGTCCTTGCCATTTGTCGTTACCACGGACGCAAGTCAGTATGGGATAGGCGCCGTGCTGCAGCAAGGCGACGGCAATGGCTATAGACCCGTAGAGTTCATGTCAGCGAGGATGCCCTGTGAGAAGGTCGCTACCTTCACGTACGAGAGAGAACTCTACGCTCTCATGCAGGCTTTAGACCATTGGAAGCACTATCTGTTTGGCAGGCACTTCCAAGTGTATTCGGACCACGAAACGCTTAGATGGTTAAAGACTCAGGCTAAGATGACACCTAAGTTGACCAGGTGGGCCGCAGAGATAGACCAATTCGACTTTGAGCTCAAGCCAGTGAAAGGCAAGTACAATGTAGTGGCAGATGCTCTAAGTAGGAGATCAGACTACTTTGAAGCCGTAGTACATTATCTGGATATAGGGAGAGACCTGCAGGAGAAAGTGAAACAAGCGTATATGCAGGACCCTATCTATAGCGACCTCCTAAAGAGAGTTAGAGAGGCCCCAGAGACCGAACCAGATTACCGCACTACAGACGGGTTGCTGTTTGAGAAGACTAATGTGTTTGACCGCCTGTGCGTTCCTAACAGCGAAGAGATTCGTAGTCTGATTCTCGGGGAATGTCACGATACGGAGAGACACTTCGGTTGGCAAAAGACGTTAGCCAATCTGATGCGTGCGTACACATGGTCAGGGATGAAGAACGACTGCATAGAGTATGTCCGCAGTTGTAAAGTATGCTAGCGAAATAAGTCTACAACACGCGCACCCCTAGGTCTTCTCAGACCCTTGCCTATTCCGGATCAGCCGGGAGACTCAGTGTCCATAGACTTCATGGACACCCAAGTCAAGAGTAAACATGGTAAGAGCCAAGTCATGGTCATAGTTGACCGTTTTAGCAAATATGCAGTTTTCGTTCCTTTGCCTGCAGAGGCACGTACGGACTTAGTTATACAGAGGTTTTTTTACTTTTGGGTTA